TTCTAAAAAAACTTTATATTTATAGGCCCTATATTTTATATAAAATATTATAAGTTCTTTTAATTCTAGATCTATTTAGATCTAATAAAATACTTGCTAAATATCTAGCTTTATATAAACCTTGGCTTGAACTAGCTATATAAAGGTCTTATAAATAAAAGAAAAAGAATAATAATTCTTTTATATTAAGTTATTTAGCTTATAATAATTAATATAGAATTAGAAAGCTTTATTAGTCTTCTTTATAAAAAGAATTAGAAATGTGAAAGAAAACTAGCTTAGCTTAATAAAGTCTTATTAGAGGTTTTCTTTAAGGAAATACTTAATCTCTTATAGCTTATAAGTTAATTATTAATAAAGCGGGAAATATTTTAGGCTTTCTAGGCTTTTAGAATTATTAATCTAAATCTTATAATTATATAGTTAATATAGAAATAAAATATTTAATACTTCTTTTAAGAAAATATTTATAAAATCTTTAAACTTCTTTAGTAAAACTCTTACTAGCTACTATAGCTCCGTTTTTCCTAGCTATTATTTATCTGAAATAAACTTATTCTCTTATTATAATTCTAGCTTTTTATTAATCTCGAAAAATAATATTATAAAAAAAAAAATCTTCTTTTTTTATAGGTTTATCTAGAAAGCAGCTAGTAAAATACCTATAATATTAACTATAGGCCTTAACTAGCTCTTATAGCTTTTCTTTAGATAATATAGTTTTAATATTTCTGTTTCTAGCTTAGAAAAAACTTTTATATTTCTTAAGATTACTTGTATTTCTCTATAATATTAAGCTTAATTCTTTTACTATATATGGCTTTCTAAGCCCGGCTTAAAAAAAGAATAAGAAGATTTCTTCTTTATAAGCTAAGGTCTCTAGAACTTATTTATAGCTATAACTTTATTCTTTTTATTTATATTTTCTTAGTACTAGTTACTTTTCTCAGGTTTCAAATTCTTATATATAATAATTAGGACCTTATCCTAACTCTTTTTTCTAGGCTAATTATCTAGCTAGATTAATTTTCTATTCTTATAATTAATTAGGATACTAGTATTTATAAATTACTATTATCCCAAAATTATATTATATTTTCCTAGTTTTATAACTAGTATAAATACTAGATCTTTTCGTTTATTAATTAAGAATATAAATTTAATATAGTAAGTAATAAATATAGCCTACTTATTATTAAACTCTCTTATATTATAGAATAATACTAGTTAAATAGACTTAATATCTAGAAATTATTTAATTATTCTTATAAATTTAGAATTAATAAAAGTATATTTATTTATTCTAGTATTAATAAAAGAAGAAATCTTAATACCTAATCTATTATTACTAATTATATAAGAGAATATAAATACTTTATTTCCTAGTAACTAGCTTAAATTAACTTTTACTATATTTATATAATATAGCCCTAAAAAGAAAACTTTCTTTAAAAGTTCTTATATCCCTATTCTATATTCTTAAATAAATTACTTATAGTAAATACTACTAGCTTAGCTACTAAGACTTGTTTTATATACTTTATCTTAGACTTTAGATAGTTTCTAGATATATAACTAAATCTATTATAATTATAATACTTGAGATTTAAAAATCCGGGCTTCGGAATAATAGGCTTATTTATTACTAGAGTTTTAAAAGCGGGCTTTATATAAGGGGCGCTTTCTGAACTTGGCTTATTTATATTTTTATTAGCTTTTTTAGATATCTAGTCTTTCTTTTTATAATAAGCTCGGATTTACTAATTATTTATAATATAATATTATATAAACTTTATAATATAAATAGCCGAGTTATTATAATATATAGCTATAGCCTTTTAGAGCTTTCAGGTAAGCTTATTATTTAGGTTATTTTTAAGATCTTATAAGTTAATATTTCTATTTATTATATATCTTAGAAATAAGATATAGAATTCCTAAAAAGTCTAGCTCTTTTTTATAAATAGCTTCTTAAAGGCTTATTAAGTATTATATTTCTTATTCGAGTTACTATATAGCTTCTCTAGATAAATATATAGTTCTCTAATAATCTTATATATATATTAATTATTCTAGTTTAGGTAAAAAGAAATTAGTATAAGAATATAACTATTTATATAGCCGGAAATATAAATAATCTTAAGGTTCTTTATCTAGTAAGTATTAGAATTACTATAAAGCTTATTCTTAATCTAAACTAACTAATTATTAAAAGTAATATTATTCTTAGTTATATCTTTAGAAATAAAAGAATTAGGGAATTTAACTAAATATTTATTTTCTGGAATAAGAGAACTAGTTATTCTAGTAGGCTATATAATAAGCTTTTTAATAATAGCTTTATTCTTTTATAAGGCTTATTTAGTTTCTTTTAGCTAATTATAATAATTCTTATTATAAATAAGAATATTATATATCTTTAGAATTAGCTTAATAATTTTCTTATATAAAGCCTCTAGGCTCCGGAATAACTCTTAGAAGTTTGCCTTTAATAGAGCAGGTCTTTTTTCTTTTTTAGTTCTCTAAAAGAAAGTATTTTTCTAATTATAAGTATTAATAAAATATTCGGACTTCTTAGGAAACTTAATAAGAGACTCTAGTTTATCTTCTAGTAATATACTAGTAATATCTCGTATTATAGCTTCTTTTAACTTATCTAGTTATTCCGGAACTTGCTTTCTTATAAATCTTTATTTAGTAATAAGATTACTAGCCTATTTACTTACCTAGCTAGTCTAGGGCTTTCTTTTATTCTTATATTAATTAACTAGTATAGGAATAATTATAGTATATTATATTTATATTTATTAAAAACTAATTAGGTAAATATTATTTAAATTCTCTATAGAATTAAGAAATAAGTAAACTTTGAATTATATTATAAATATAAGATCTAGAGCCTAGAAAATATAATTAGACTATTTCTATTTTAATAATTTAAAGCTAAAGAGAAAAAAGGATCTCGAAAAAGCCTCGGATCTAAATAATTATAAGCTATATACGGGCCTATATACTAGCTTAAGCTCGGGGTTATATATAATAATTAGATAATTATAAATGCCTTACTTAGATACTAGATATCTTTCTAGTTCTAGTCTAACTTCTATTAGTACTATATATTATAATAACTATAATAATATTAATATTAAATTATATCTATAATATTTATATTTATTTTCAAAATTATATATTTTTATATATAATTCCTATTAGCTAAATTCCTATATTTATAAAGGCTAGAAATAAGAATTAATTTCATTTATTATTTTTACTATTATTATTAGAAATCTCTATATTATTTTCTAAGAACCTTAGAATTCATTTCTTTATATTTTATAAGAAGCTAGAATAGAATTAAAAGCAAGAATATTACTATTAAAGAATAATATTAAGACTAATAGCTTCTCTAATTCAGTTTTCTAAATTCGTCTTATTATTATTAAAGAAGCTTTTTGTCTTATTTAAATTATTAGCTATAAAATACTATAAATATTATTTTAAATTATATAAATACTTTTAAGTTATTTTTTGCAATATTATATATATAAAAGACTTATTTCTTATAGCTATAATATAAGTATTTATAACTCGCTAATTCTTATATAGCTTAATATAATACTTTTAAGAAATGTTTTATATTAGACCGGATTTTATTATTTTTAAATATTTAAATATTAATTTATCTAAAATATTCTTAAATATATTATATATTTTTTAATTCTTTTTAATATAAATATTATTGATTTTTTTATTAGCCTAGAAATCTCTATTAAATATATATTTTATTAAATATTACTAAATTCAAATATTAATTAAAACTTCTATTTCTTTTTAAAAGCTTATATAATAAAGTAATTAATTATAATAACTTGAAATTCTTTAAAATACTTCGATTTTTAATAAGCTATTATTTCTAATTATATACTTAATACTTTATTTTATATTAAAAGAAATTATTATTATACTAATAAATATAAACTTTAATTAAGATATATATAAGATTTTAAATTATTTTATTCTTTATTTTTTCGGCTTTTATAAATTTAATCTTTTTTTTAGCTTATTTTTTGAGTTTCTTTTATACTTTTAATAATTATTAAGTTTCTTTTAATATATAAAATAAATTATATAAAATCCCTTTATTTAATATTAGAATATATTTCTATTAATATAAACTACTTTTTACTAAATAAAGAAATAAAAATATATAAAGATCTAAATTATATCTTATTTTATTTAATATAAAAATAACGCGTTTTATTAAAGAAATAAAATTACTTTAGCTAGTAAATACTTCCAAATACTTAAGTAATAAATAATAACGAGAACTACTAGTACGGGATCGGGCCGGGATATAGTTCTCGGATAGAAGCTAATAATAATAAAGCTAAATGAAATTGAGTTAGTTTTATTTAAGTATACTAATTAGGCCCTTATATAAGGAATAGTACTTATTAAACTAATCGAATATACTCTATATTTGGGTTAGTACTATCCCACGCCTCTTGGCTAAATATAGAAAGTCCAATTCTCTTCCAAAATCCAGTTTTCTTCCGAATTAGAAGCGTATTTAAAAGTAATATTATTGCCTTCCCCGAGTCCCTCGTATAACAGTGGCCTACCAATAGCAGCACTAAATTCCAAACCCGGCACAGCTTCAGCGTGGCTACAGTGGCCATTTGCCACCCCAGCTTACCTAACTATAGTAGCCTTAGGTACCAAAAACTCCAACCTATTCTATTAGATGTAACGTCTCCAGCTCAACGATATCAATGCAACCAAGAATCGTACGCAGGACTCAATTAGGGCAAATCAAGTATATTGTCAACCGTGCAGAGCAAACTACGGAGGGATTCTGGCCACGTGTAAGGGCTAGAAGTGAGACGTGCTTGAAACAAGTAGTCAGAAGCCCCAGGCCGCCATACACACTTCAACATATTCACCAAAGTAGGAAAGCCACCTATTCATCCCCTCACAAGGCTCTCGCGCCGGACAGTCCGTCATTGCATATCAGTATCCTTATTCTCAGCCAGATGGCGCCAATTGGGTTGGCCAATGATCTTCTCTGTAAGCATGGTTTGAATCTCAGCAGAGGTAAATCCGAGTGATAAAAGGACTTCAGTATATGCGCTACCCGGCGGGACGGCTGCCGCGACCGGCGCGAGGTTTTGACCGTTGAAGCGAAACCATGTAGGCTCAAGAGCCGTGGTTTCTAGTCCACCGCATTTCGTCCGGCGGAATCGGACCGTTTCACTGGGTTTATCCATATACCTTTGTTTGAGCGCCGCGATAGTGAGCACAGGAACGACCAACGCATCTCGTTCTCGCAGAAACTCGGTTGCTTCTTTTACCGTCAAACCGCGCATTGCCTCCGACAGATCGTCGGTGGCTTCGGCAAAGACCCAACCGTCGGTAAGTTGATGGAGCCGGGCGGTTGCGCTCGGGCCAATGGCTCTCGGCCCGTGTGCTGTCGCTGCTCCCGGACCGGCCTGGAACGGAAACTGTACGAGCGCGGCTCCCCGCGCGAGGGAGGTCTCGGTCCAGTCGCCTTTCTGGTCGCCGCGCCGCTCGCGAGCTTGAAGGCCCACAAGTGCAGCAAAGGCCCCGAGGTAACCGGTGAGGTAGTCGACGCAGGAGGCGATGCCGTGCAGCAGAGGCATGTCCTTCGTGCCAAAGCGGCTCATGATTCCGGTTGCGGCCTGCAAGAGCGGGTCATACCCGGGGCGGTCGTCGTGGCCCGACGGTCGCTCGCCCTTGAAGGCGCTGACCTGGATTCCAATCGCGCGGGGATTGATTTTTGCCAGCTGCGCTCGGCTCAGACCAAGTCTTTCGGTCCCGCTGTCCGTCGCATTTATGACGACGATGTCGGCCGTGGCCACGAGGCGCTCGAGAACCTCACGCCCTGCCGGGGTCCTCAAATCGACGAGAATGCTCTGCTTGCCCTGGCCGACATCACCAGCCCAAATAATCGTGACGAGCGGCTGATGATCGGGTCGGGTCGTATCAATTTTGTAGACCGTGGCGCCGAGTTCGGCGAGAAGGCGGCCGCAGGCGGGACCCGCGATGACATTCGCGAGATCGACAACCACATAGCCAACCAAGGGTTTGAGGCCAGCGGAAGCCGCGCCAGACGCGCCAGACGCGCCAGACGGATGTTGAACCTTCGACGACGTCGTTGTAGCCGCCGCCAGCCGCCGTCCGGGTTGAAGGGGGGGATAGGGTTGGGCGGACTGGACGCTGGCTGAGCGTCCTAGCTGAGGACGGTCCAGTCCGGCGATTTCCTCAACGAGGCCGGACTCTCGCGCCCATGAACTCCTCATCCATTCTGGGAAATCCTGGACGATGGCACAAGGAACCTGCGCCTCCGCGAACAGCTCTTCCCATTCCACCGCGGATTTCGTTGAAAAGGCCTTCTCCATCAATGCCGCAAGTTTGATATTCAAATCGTTTCGCATCCCTTGAGGTAATGCGATGTTGCGGTCCGCGACGAGCTCGCTCGCCGGATCATAGGGAGAAGCATCGACAATGCCCATTTCCTTTACATGCTTGTAAAGCCCCAGCAGCTCGAACATCCGAATGGCCAACCGTCGGTTCACAGTCGTCACCGGCGTCAAGAGCCGGCCGTCGGCGCTGCGATAACAACCAGCCGTAGGGTTTAGTCTGTTGACGAGCCAGATCATATGGCTTTCATCACTACGCGCCTTGGGCACCTCGACCATGAGTTCCGGCGGGAGGGTAAGCAGCCCAGGTGGCAGGAGGTATGGCTCGACGCCCTCAAGGTCGAGCGCCAGCACGCCAACCGCCGAGAGCCCTGCGGCCAGCCTCGGGATCACGATATCGCGGCCTACGCCGCAACGTTCGCGATCGGTTAGTGCCGCCATAGACGCAACGACACCCAGCACGGCAGCGTAGACTGTGCAAAGCGGTAACGGTGTATAGGTCACGCTGCGCCCGAGCAGCTTGCTGGTTACGCCGAGGTCCGTATAGAAGCCGACCAGAGCATTCAGCAAGTCGTCACTGGCATCGGGCGGCAGATCAAATTCAACCTCTCCGGGTGCGACCGCCGGAAAGCTGAGAGAGATTTGTGATTCAACTGACCGCGCGGAGGGTTCGCTTCCAGCGATGATGATGTCAATTCCCTCGACACTCGAAAGGACTGCAGCCGGCAGCAGGAGTTTCCCACGGTCTAGATAGTCGTCAAGTCCGCCATTTGATAGACGACCGTGGTCCAGCGAAAAAATGTCTGCGCCTTGATCGGCGAGCAGCACTCCAGCAAGGCGGGCAGCGGGCGTAGCGCCCGTTTCCAAGACGCGGATTCCTTGTAGCGGCATGGCTGTAAGTCCGGCCGTGGCGGACTCGGCGGCAATGGGCACGTTGGCGATCTCGTCCGGATCCTCGATAAGTCGAAAGCCATAGACCTTCGAAGTGACGTCTACAAACGTCGCATTTGGCAAAATTTCGCCAAGACGAAAGTAGTGTTTCACCGTTAGGCTATCATATTCGATACCAATTTTTCCACTTTTGAGACCGAGTTCAGTCATGACTTTCAAAATTCCGCCGAACAAATCAGATGCGAACGACGGTTCGTTATAGCTGCGGCCATAACCACGAATATCCGGCAAGAAAGACTTCTCTCCGGCTGTCAGCAGCCGTGTGACGTTCACGAGCAGGATGGGTTTACGGTTGGCCGGCGCAATCACCCCCGGGGGGTCCGAAGTGATGATTTGATTGAAACCAGAAGCATGGAAGACACTCTCCGGCTTGAGGGTGATAATGACATCAACATCAGCCTCACTCGCTGCTTCGTTCCAACGGCTAACGCGTGGAGGTGGAGTTTTGGAAGATTGGGACGCCATCGTGGTGATGTTGACGTGAAGGTGTTGATGCGACGTAGATGACGGATTAAGGTGTTTATCGCAGTTGATAATAAGTGAACGATAACTTTTTGCCCTCTGGCAGTACGCTGAAGAGTCTTTGATTTTTCGAAGATGAAATAAGGGAGGAGAACCCTCTTTATCAATCATGAAAGACGACGAGATGTTGCGACGTTTAACGGGGCCTTAGCAGAACAGCACAGCGGTTCGCGCACTACTGAGCATCGCAGCTGCAAGGGTGATGGATGCGTGGGCTCACTCCAAGCAGACACGGGACGAAAGTCCCTCAGATGATACTCCTCAATGCACCTGGGCATTGCGGATGACAGGCTGGTTTTGGATAGCGTCGATGACGATTCTCCATATTAGACTGCCGAGCTCAGCTGGTTGGCTTGATAACTGAAGCAGCACGCGCAGTATGTCTTTGTGAAGATATGTGTGGAAGGTCTCCCATATTGAGCTAAACTGGATCTAGAAAATGCTAGGGCCCAGGTCACGGATGACTTAGTTAAGGTGAAGCAATCATAATAGCCAATATCTGTACCCGCACTAGTAGTCCGCGCCTTAAATGGTCGGATATTAGTTTAGGATGAAAGTCATAGCTAAACGTGGCAAATTAAGATCGGAGGGCTTTTCCTCACCGTTTCAGTAGCCCCAGCCGCTAGGGTCAGAGGCCCTAGCATTTTCTAAATCCAGTTTAGCTTAATATGGGGAACCTTCCGCACGTGTCTTCGCAAGGGCATATTGCGCATGCTAACGTCCATCCTTGCTTAGCGGAAAACCCTATGTGCCGGGACGACTTCATTATTTTGGGGTCTAAAATCTGTACTATATAAATATATAAAGTAATAATTAGTTTACTATTATTCTTTAATTATTTCTTTATTAAGCTGTAATATAATATAAAAAAACTATAATTATAATTATTTTATTAATTATTTTATTAAAGATATATTAATTCTTTTTTAATTAATTCTTTTTATTTTATTATAATTATTAGCTTGTTTTTAAATTCCGGAATTATAATATAAAGCTTTTTTTTTAAGAAAAATATAGCTTTATATATAGCTTTAAAATTTAAAGATTTAAAATATAAAGTATTTTTTATATTAAATCTAATTAAATCTTTTAAAAAATTAAGAAAGTATTTATATAATATTTTTTAAATTAAAAGATTTTTATATTATTAATAAGAATTTATAAGTTTTATTAAATTATAATTTAAAAAATCTAGTTTTTTCTTAAATATAAATAAAAAATAAAAAATAATTAATAAACTTAAATTTCTTTATTTTATTTTTTCTTATAATAAAAATAATATATATTTTATTTTATATATTTTTAAAAAATAAAACTAATTTAAAGATTTAAAATAAATTATTTAAATTATTTTATTATTTTTGAAAATTCTTTTAAAATTTTAGATTTAATAAATATTAAAAAAATATAAAAAAATACAAATATAAAAAAATATAAATATAAAATATTAATTTATAAAAATCTTAATATTTTTAATTTTTATATATATTTAATAAAAAGAGGAAAGAAGATATAATATAAGTAACTAGAGCTTAAATATAGTAAATATAATTATATAAGCCTATATATAACTAGAATATAATTATTATATAATATATATCTCCTAAAAAAGAAAGAATTATATAGTTCTTTATATATATATATATAAGCTAATTTTATAAAAAGATTAAAAAATCGAATAATTTTTATTTAAAAGCTTAAAAATAGCCTAATTACTTCCAAGATCCAAAATATAGCTTTATTTAATCTTTTTATCCCGATTAGGTAATTTTATCGAGTTATCTTTATATTATAAATACTTATTCTAGCTATAAGAATTCTAATATACTTTATTTCTGGCTATTATTATTATATATATCTTATTATTAAGCTACTTTAGAGCAAAAATATATAAATAAGAGATATAGAAACTAGAGAGTTTTAATAAAGAGGAAATAGAAGACTTTAGTAATATTATTAAAGCTAGAACTAGTAATATCTTAAATCTAGTTATTAGATTATATATAATTAACTATTCGGAATTTGTATTTGCTATTAATTAGGCTCTAGTAATACTAATTAATAGAGTATCTAAAGCTAGTCTAATCTAGAAATCTAGTATATTTTATATTATTAGAATAATATAGAATTCGGATATAAAACCGGTATATCTAATAAAATAAAAATAGATAGTTAGGTATTCTGAAATATATATTCTATTATATATTTAGAGATATATAAAATAGATCTTATTAATTTAATTAAGAGTAATAGAAGCTAGTATCTTAAACTAATTAATAAGAGTCTGGGAAATAATTTCTAAAAATAACTATTTTAAGAGAAGTTTCTATAAATCTAATAGTTTTATAGTTTACCAAATTATAATAAAGTCCTATAAGTAATATATTTATTATTTATTTATATAAACGTTTTTAGTACTTAGATATAAGATATTAATAAAATTAAAAATATTATAGTAAATTAGATATTTGCCTTTATAGATTAGTATTTTAAGCAGATATATATAGGCTAATAGTTTAAAGAGGCTAATATTTTCGAGTTTAGGAGAAAGAGAAAGTAATTAATAATTAAAATAAGAATATTCGAATTTATCTAAAAGAAGGAAAAGCTATTAAGAAGCTAATAGTAGCGGCTATTTAATAGTAAGAGAAGCTAGAATAAGAGATATAATTTGAAATTATAATTATATCTTATATAAAGAAAATTAACTTGTTTTAAATAACTTAATTAATAATAGATTTAATAATTAAATTAATAGTATTTAATTAGTATTTACTAAATGCTTTATTATTTATTTATTATAGTATTTAAATACTAATTTCTTGGCTAAAAATAGTTATAGCTAGCTATTCTAATAGCCCTAATTCCTTAGAATTAAAGGAAACTATAAGTTAATATTCGGGAGTCTTTAATTTAATAATAGAAGCTTTAGGAAATATAATAATATTATAGTAATATTAATAAATAGGCTATATTAGCTAAATTAATAGTTTCTAGTTAATAGCTTAATTAAGAGATTAACTAATTAAAATAGAGCTTTAGAGAGCTTTACTAGAAATATAAATGAATTTATAAATAATTAAAAGTAAGAAGACTTTTAATTAAATTAAATTAATAAGTATTACTATTATTTATTATAATAAATATAAATATAAGTAGTATATATTTAATAAAAAGAAAAATAGAAATATAATACAAGTAGCCAGAGCTCAAATATAGTAAATATAGTTATATAGGCCTATATATAACTGGAATATAATTACTATATAATAATATATTAATATTAATATTATAATATTATAATTCTTATTTTTAAATATTAATTACTTTATTAATTTTAATATAAATTATTATTAATTTACTAATAATATATAATATTATTATATAATATATATAAAATATTATTATATAATATATATAAAATATTATTATATAATATATATAAAATATTATTATATAATATATATAAAATATATATATATTAAATTAATAAAATAAAAATAATAATATTAATATATAATTTCTAAATTTATTAAATCTAATAAAAACTAGTTTACTAATTAAATTATACTTAAAATATAAGATAATATAACTAGTTATATAATTAGAAATTTATTATATAATTATTTAAATAATAATATTTTATAAAATATATAATAATATTATATATTATTATTAATATAACTATAATTATATAATATAAAAATAACTAAAAATAATAGAATATAAATAATAAATAATAATTATATAATTTTAGATTATATAAATAACTTAATTAATAACTAGTTTTTATTAGATTTAATAAATTAAAGAATTATATATTAATATTATAATATTATATATTACTAATATTATATATTACTAATATTAAATAGTTTATATATATAAATTAGAAAAGATTTTAGATTAATTCTAAAAGCATTTAATAGCCTAAAATAAATCTAGTATATTTTATATTAAAGAAAAAGACTATTTATTAATTTTATAAATATATTTAATAGCTTATAAAAAAAATATTTAGTTTTTATTAACTAATTAATAATTATTTATTTAACTTTTATTATTTTATGAAACTAATTTTTTTTAGTTTTAAAATTATTTTTATTTATATAATACTTATATTTATATTCTTAAAGCTCTTTAATTATAATTTCGATTTTATTATTAAATTAAATTTTTTAAGCTTTAAATTTTTCCGGAATTATAATATTTTACTTTCTAAATTTCTTATTATAAATTAAATTTTTAAGAATAAAATATTTATTTTAATACTTTTATTAAATATTTTTATTATTAAATTGTTTTTATAAATCTATTATAAAGTATTTCATTTTCGAATTTCCTTTATTATAATTTCTTTTTATTTTAAATTATATATATATATTAGAGAAAACCTAAATTTAGTTTAATATAAATATTAATAAAAGAATAATATTAATTTAATAATTATAATAAAATATTATTTTTAGAAATATCTAATTACTAAAATATATTAATATATTTTATATAAAAAAAGTAATCTCAGGTCTAGTGTTTACTATCCCGGGTTTGGCGCCCGCCGCATCGGGCAAGGTACGTGCACGGGCCAGCCGCCGCTTTCACCGTTTATAAAAGTCGCCCTCCCACCCAGCTCGACCATCTTCCTCTTCAATCAATCTTTTCTTAACACCCTTTCCCTCGGCCGTTTAGTCTCGTCATGCGATACTAACCACTACCTGCGCCAGCTCAAGCATCCACACCTAGAAGAGCTGGACCGCAACTAGAAATCCCAGCTCAAACATTCGCACCTACACGCCGAAGTGCTCACATTCAAGCTCAAGCACTAGGACCTAAGAGTACTGGCCTCCAAGTACAACAATAGGAAATCCCAGCGCTAGTACCAACACCAGCGCTTAGACGTCAGAGCTCTTATCTTCGAGCTCAAAGTCTAGTATCTAAAAATTCTGACTTTCATGGATAGCAATTAGATCCCTCATCTTAAGTACGAGCACTTAGGCACTAGGGCGTTCGTCCCCAGCCCTGAGCTGAGACCATAGTTTAACTAACGCGTCAAAGTGCGCGGCTTCAGGAAGAACAGCCTAGTATTTTACTCTAAGCATCAAGGGTCCTTATTATTAATAAGGTTTCCAAGAGTTTAGATATCTCGAGAAAGTGGAGTAGTAAGACATTATAGAAACGGACCTGACGACCACAGGGCGAGAGACATTTACGTAGTCTTACAGGCTACGAAGTACGCAGATAATATAGAGAGGTTATTCAAGATAAATAGTATATAGATATAACTTGATATAATTCGATATCTCAAGTTTATTAAATTTAGTATTTCCTATCTATCCAAACACTACTAACTACCTTAAACTATCCCTTATATAAACTGGCAGCTGCCCCTCTATAAGGTAACACAGTTGGATAGCTATCTTTAGCTATATAGAGTAACATAATCACAGTCTCTAACGTCTCCACCATCCATGTCGCCTTTCGAAGCTCCTGGCAATAAGTTAAGCAGGAAATAAGAGGGGAGATAGAAAGCTAGAAAAGGGATAAAACGGCGAGCAAAGTGGCAACTATATGCTTGCACCAATCATTTCTCTTTGGTTTAGTACCAAAAATTTGTTAGTACTAGCGATCTAATAGTACTAGTGTTTTTTTGGTACTAATAAATTATTTGCACCAGTAATTTAATAGCACCAGTAGTCTCTTGGCACTAATGACGCACTTGTACCAACCATTCCTTCGTACAATTGTTTTTATAGTACTAGCAAATTATTTGCACCAGTAATTTAATGGTACCAGTAGTCTCTTAGCACTAGTAGCTTTTTCGTACCAATTACGCATTCGTACCAACCATTTCTTAGTACAAATGATTTTGTGGTACCAACAAATTATTGGTGCTAGTAATTTTATAGTACCAATGGCTTCTTAGTACCAATAGTTTAATGGCACCAACTATGCGTTTATTCTAATAGTATTTTGGTGCCAACCCAACTTTTGTGCCAACCGTTTCCTCGTACCATTGTTTTTTCCGGTACCAACGCATTTTTTGTACTATATCCACTCACGTGATCTAAACTTAGTTTTGTGACTGTTGGTTTCAGGCTATATAGGGAAGTCACGTGTAGCAAATAATAGGCGGTAAAAGCACTGAATTGACTACTGTTCTATAGTGGTAAGTAGCCTGTATATATAGGCCTTAAGCCCCCTATAAAGCTGAGCTTTTCAGCTATATCGGCTACTCCGGTGGCAAGCTTATAGGGGCTGAACCCCCTATAGCTTCCAGCTCTACAGGGCTCTAAAAGCCCTGTTCGGCGACCCCGTTCAGCGTGGCAAAGCCACTAGCCTTACGAGCCGGGGCTCACAGGTCTGTGCGCAGAGGGCATTTTAGTTATAAATGAAAATTTAAAAAATTAAATCGCTAAGGATTAATTAATGAAACTGTGCTTGACTTATTTTAATTCCCAAATCCCAAATCCTAAGCCATAACTATTTGTTGTTGTCTTATAATCTTCAAGTAAACGTTGAGACTTTGCCATTTAGTACCCCAAAGGCAAATTCGCGAAGCCTGAAAATGCTTGGAAAATGCCCTGTGCGCACAGACCCGTGAGCCCGGGCTCGTTAGGCACCAACAGTGACCCCTACATACCTCGCTTAATGGACAGGCGGTGGTCATCGTCATCAGAATAATGCTCCCCTCAAGTCAAGGTAGCATCTGGGTATAACCCCTCAGCAATGAAGAGTTGGTCTGTGGGGTGACATTTGGTTCGATTGAAGTGAGGGTCGATGTTGGAGGTGAGGAGAGAGCGGATAGTGATTTTGCAGGAACAGCAACACCCTTCCCTACAAACGCCGGAGAATAATATCCTATTGCTTGTCGCATATTGCGGGACGATGAATGGGGAGATTGCCCAGGTACTTAGTGACTGGGCAGCCTCAAGTGATGGTTCAAGTTTCTATGAAGTATTGGTTGAAGAGCATCAAGACCCCCAAACAGAGCGGCAGCTCGCATTGAGTCTCGCCACTTTGCTAAGCTATAACCAACTTCTCCCGCACACATCGAAGGAGCCTACCCTGCCAATCGGACGCTCTTCCTTGGTGGACTTCGATGCTCTCATGAATGGGTTCACTCTTATTAATGAGCGAGAAGTAATTGAGCGCATAATGTATTCATTTGTGCGAGTTCTGGGAACTTTCGGAGACGAGTATCAAGAAGTGATTCAATTTCTCGTCACTGTACTTAATACAGACCTACCTTTATTAAACCCGCTCGGTAGATTTTCAGATTAATATTAGGTATAGAGAGTATAGGAATTATCCTATAAAGATGCTTTTGAAATAGTAAGGCTTCCCTAGTTCTTAATCCAGACTATATATCTAGATTCTAAAATTAAGAAGAGTTAGGTAATTAATGGCTATAAGTTGCTCTAGATAGCGGGTTATCTAATTTTAGTAAATTCTATTAATCTTTATAGTTATATAAATTATATTAATAGCCCTATTTAATTATAATCTTAAGTTATATTACTAGGGAATTCTTTTTTAGTATTCTGCTTATAGTTAATAATATCTATCTAGATAAGCTAGCTACTAATTAGGTATATATCTTATCTTATGAATATAATAATAAACCATAAATCAAAGCCTATTAGCTAAGATAAGAGATATTCTCTAGTAAATCTTTTACTCCCGTAAGCAAGATTGGCCTAACTCTAAATACTTGCAAGTAATAGGCCTTAGCTTATATTACTTCCTGCCGCTATTTGGTATAATCTCGTTAAAGCCACCTTATTATCTTACTCGAATAGCTATAGCTTTATTATAAAGCAAATACGAACGAAAGAAGGCAGAGGATAAGGTTATAGACGAGATTCTTTAGAGCCTCTAAATAAGCTTAGAGATAGTCTTGGAGACTATAGGCAGATTAGGTCTCGTAATACCTGAAGCTTTATAATAACGGGTTCAGGAGAGAGGCTTCTACCTCTTTCTAATACTTATAAGGCTTCTAGAAGCCTATAATTCACGCTTTATACCTCCGAATATAGTTCATCTCGCATTATAGAAAAGATTATAAAGGGAATACTATTCGGGTATTATATATCTCTATTTTAACTAAATTTATAATTTAAAGGATAATCTTATATATATTGCCTTACTACTAATATAAAACCTCTCTAATATAGCTATTATAATTAAGAAATGGCTTCCGAAAGTCCTATAAGTATTAAAGAACTCGTTTATAGACTAGAATAGAAACTGTCTATTTTGCTATATTTTATAGAGATTATATAAAACTTCAGATAAGTTACCCGGGTTAATATTTCCGTCTTCTAAAAAATAAGGCTATTATCTTATATATACTATAAATTCTCTTTAGTCTAGATATACTATTACCCTTATAAAAGTCTCTTCCTAATCTGATTTAGCTTTGGAATAGCCGGATTCCTGAGAGAGAATATATAGTATATAATCGCAGGCCTAATAGGACTAAGACGGTAGGAGAAGGATCTATCAAATATTAGATAAGGGATAAGAAGAGAGTCGAGAATTACTATTCAGAGAATATATCTATAGTTAATCCTGAATAAATTTGCTTTATATAACTTCCAGATATAAGATTATAATATCTGTCTATATAGGGACATATTGTAACTATCCGCTCCTATGAATATTTACTATTTCCAAGAGACTCCGAGTATTGTAAAGTAACGGGCCTAGGAGTAACGAACTGAGTCCCTCGGAATTCTCAAATGGCTAGCGACGCTCGACAGACTGCCAGGTGGATATTTCCTCATGGCCGTGGCTGCAGCTTGAAAGCCGTAGAGCAAACGGAAAAATAGGGGCATGGGTACCCCTGGCCGAATTGTCTCCCTTTGCATGGCTTCGAAGGCAGCGTCTCCTGTACATGACATCCTTCTCCATCCATTTAACCAATCTGCGTACTTGGACTCTATCCAAGGCAGACTCGCCACCATATACAATTCTTCGATACGCACTCAGCCCCCTTAGTTGCTTGATCTTAAGCTTCAGGAAATCAAAGGACGGAGGCCCGAAGCCCACCCCCACCATTACCCCGGCCGTCCAAAGAGCGATTCGGTAGCTATTAAAGATAATCAACTCAGACCATTATACCTAATCTTCACACGATATAGATATTGGTAGGGAAGTCGCAAGGCAGTTCGCTATGTCGACACATATTCCAAGAGCAGATACCCACCCGCTCATAAAGAGGTAGACCCTTTAAATGATCAGGTCTTTTGGACGGATCAAAGGGCACCACACACAAACACAATTGATAAATATTTGCGCGAGCAATCTCAAAGCACCATATCTCGTGGGTCCGTGTAGAGACGTGACGGATATCTGGTTCTCAGTCCGCAGTCCGATCACACGCGAAGTTCTCTACTCCAGTTCGGATCGTGTTCGCGTACCGGATTGCCATGATTCTGCTGTTGAGCTCGCTGCTTGGTATTGGAGAAATCGTGCGGCCAGAACGTGGATACATCCTCGTCATGCGACCCATGAGGCGTAGCGCCGTAAATAGTTGAAGTGCCTGCTCTTCAATCCCTTCAAGATGCGCTTCGCACGTCACACTATTGTGGTCGCGTGAATCAATCTCCTTGAACATTATGGGCGCTATGACTCCGTACCAGGACCAGGTCGGGGCTCGAAATATAATTGGTCGGTTGAACATCCCTGGCGTCTTATGCTTTGGGATGGGTTCTGTATGGCGAACCAGCTCGTGTTCATAACTAGAAGTTCTCGAGCCGAAAAGATCCGCGTCCGGCTGCACACTTAAGGCATCCGTCTCGTCTTTTTCCAGAACAATTGGATTCTTCCTCATTAAAATATGGTGTTCTCCGTTCATGGGTCGAGCGCGCGACTTGGGGACTTTCAGATCCACCGACCATAGTAACTCTTGCCACATTTGCTCGCCATTTAGATTTTTTGCCCATAGCCCAAAAATGCATCGGTCGTTTAACATCTTCTCCGTCAGGCTCACAACCCCCGCCGTAGCGATCATCCTATCTGTTTCTAGGGTTATGTCACGACTTGAGTAAGCTTGGACAATCTGCCTCCACGTCTTGTGTATTTCCGCTCTGGACAGCGACTTTGAGTTCATTTTCTTACTCGCCACAGCTTCCTTGAAGGATCGGTAGCTTCGCCCGTGGCTGTGGCTGTTGTACACTAGATCGGGTATACGTGTTGGATAGGACTCTGAGGCGTTGATGCAGACACAATCCCAGAACAGCTCGTCGGCTGTGAAATACAAGACCCTTGGTGAGAGCAATTGTTCTTGAAGGATCCATGCACCAGCATCCAGGACCCCCGAAGGTCTTCCCAGCGCCTGATTCATGACGATCTGCGAAAGCGAAAAGCTGCCCAGATTTTTGGAATAGTGCTTTTTGTCGATGAGAGAGCCGAAGATTAAGAGCACAAGGCCGCTTGCGCTGATAGGTTCTTTGTCGGAAGACTCCATTCTCATAGCAGTTGTCGACAGCGGCAGCAATGGTCATAAGTGAGTTTCGAAATATATTAGCCATATTCGAGGCTTGGCTCTCCCAGTCTGATGGGTCATCTTGAACGATGCAAAGCGTATCGATCCATAGGTAACGGAGACCGAGCTTCCTGGTGATGACCACAGCGTCACGAAAACTTTTGGGTAGAGTGCGTATTGGCATGGAGATTGATCGGTCACTCAAATTTTCCAACCTCGTCTTGACCGTATCGTAATCTCCCCATCGATGGCTTAGTGTCAGGTAATAGTCGGAATGCTCTTTGCTTGAATAGAGAAATGGTTCTTGAGATCCATCTGGCGGTCCAACATCAATTACGCGCGAAGGAAGAAGCGAAGAACTTTTTTGGTACTGGTTACATTTGACATGCTGTGTTAGGCATGTGTGTAACCATACTCCAGCCATAGCTAATGCACTTGCTGATCCAGTAGTAGAATCATCAAGGCTATCAACCTGCGAGAGCAAGGTTGCCATGTCATCTAGCAAAGAATTAACCCAGTAGAATCAATAGGATGCGAATATCTTACCATCCAGTGAAGCGACACGAATGAATCCTAACTTATTTCCGCATTGCACCTTAATCTTATCCATAAAATCGGACCATAGCTGCTCTGGTGAGGCTCTTAAGTGGCGTGTCGAATAGGCCTTGTATGCTAATCGAACATCCAAGTTCAGGTGCTCAGTTCTGGGTTCTGATCTGACGCCCCGGGACAAAGTTCCATCACCTTCTGTCCCAGCGGTTGACTCCCCTAGCACCGGGTTCGGGCCATACAAGGAGTCCAAGATCATTCTGCACAACACACAACCATCCTCTGCAGAACCTTTAACCTTCTCAAGGGTAAGATAATTGTATTGTGCATCTTCCCGCTTCAGAGTCCCCTCGGCATATCCTCTTTCCCAACTGGAGCAAAGTCGACTCTGAAAATGCATGCACTTTGAGCAGAACTGAAGCCCGGTTCTCCGGCTGCCTGGAATGGATTTGAGAATTCCCGATAGGATTGTCTCGAAAGCTTTTGCTTTGGCGAGAATATATTTGGCAGGGCTATTATTCCGAGTAAGGACATCCGTTAGAGCAACGTTTCTGGTCCAGACAGCCAGTTCCCATGCGCTAGTATAACCACGCCTCTCCTTGCTAAAAGTCCCTCCATGTTGTAGCAGCAATAGAACAACTCGAAAATGTTTATGATCGAGCGCAAGGTCTGTAGGTGTTGTCCCATCACTTGCTCGAAGAGTGGTAGTAGCATTGTAGCAAGTCTATTTATATAACTAGTTCTCGAAATTAGCTAGTACTATTATATAACTAAATAGCTTAAATATTTAAATATAATAACTAGTCTATGTCTATAATTATAATAGCTCGGCACTAAGAAAACAATTCTATAGCTAGAGCTTAAAGTAAAATTAAAAAGAATACTAGAAATAAGCCTATTTAATCTATTACATATATTATAGGCTATAATAATAACCTTATTAACTGCGACAATAGAACAGACGATAACTTCCTATTAATTAAAGAGCTCCTAAGTTAGATTTCACACAAGGGAATCTTAATAAGGGGATATTAAAATCCTAAAGATATCCTCTAGTATCTTAAAGAGCCTACTCTTAACATAAGTAAAAGCTGTCCTAGTCTAACACAGTTAATATTAGATAATAATATAGGCGGCAGCCAAGGTACTAGAGGTATACGCAACCGCTCTCTAATTACTATAATAAGTGTTTTCCTGGAGAATTCAACACCGATACCAAACGGGTTATACTCAATTATATATTCAGACAGCACATTCAGCATCCCTTTTCAAAATCTCCAAATAATATGCCGAAACCTTAGAGGAATAAGTGAGGTGTTTGCGATTTCTTATCTTTCGTCGAACCTCCACTAAGAGTCTTTGCACATATTCGTAGATTCTTCTGGGACCTGAATTACTCAACTTTCGTTGTTTGATATTATGAAAGGATTTAATGCGCCGTTTCTGACGATAATGTTCTCAAGTAAGCACGACCGAGATTATAATGACGATTCAGATTGTAGGTCTATTTTTTGGAACATTTCGTTGCTAGCATTACCCCGCCCCTTTCTTTAGCGATTCACCGCTCGCTAAAACGGAAAAATTGTTGCAAAACAGTGGAGATTGAGGGCTTGGATTTTCAGCTCATGCGGAGTAAGCAACTTCTATATATGACGGGTTAAGGATACCCTCAATATGAATTTGGGAGCCACAAGTACTCCCTCCTAATCCTCAGCCTCCAGCTGTGATAGTTCCTGGGAGTATCAAAGATCCAAGATTCACACTAATGAAGACAACAAGTATAGCAGCATACGCAGCTGTCGAAGTAAAGATCTCCGAGCGCTTCGCATTTGTGAGTAAGCCGATTACTAGGGCAAAGAGACTAGTGAAAATGGCAACCAAACCCAGTCGCAGTTGCCATCCTCGGTCCTGGAGTATCGAGAGGCAGGCTATTACTCCTAGGAGGAGAATGCCACTGAATACGATGCTTATAAGATAGCTGGCGAGTTGTATTCGCGCTTCGGAAAAGTAATAGATACCAAGGTCTGGTTGGGGATTACGTCTTCGGTCCTGGAAGGAGTTAGCAGAGTTAGGTTAGCTTAATTATACTAAATTAGTATAGTCTGGACATTATCTCTGCATTACAAACTCCCCTCGAAACAGAAAGATAGTACTATACGAGAAGCCTTACCCGAAAACATCTCCCAAATATCTTTCGAAGTATTCGACTTAGTCGATCGTCATTAGATTAAACCAAAGTTACGAGATCGTAATGATCCGATAACATGTTCGCATTATAGTTAATAAGAATCGACTTGTCCCTTGGCGTCCAGAAATATCTCTGGAGCGTTTCCAGTATATGATTAGAAGGAGCTGCAAAGTTCATGACTTTTCTTGCCTATATCAATGCCTCTTCTGGACAAGTATTAGTCCCAGAAATCTTTATAAAGGGTAGTAGAAGTGCATACTATAGTCCCGTATTGCCTCTTTGATCTGTCTATACAGCTCAACTCTCTCAAAAGCACTAGCTCCTATCTCATCTTCCCTATTTTGCTCTACTCTTTTAGTCACACCTGGCTATAGTACTATACTTCCCCCTTCCCGCTCTTCTTAGTACCATCTCGCCTTGGCCTTCAAGTCGCTATATGCCTTCGCCGACAGCCTTGCAGTAGCATCATATACACCAGTTTCAGTATCAATCTAGTCGAGTTCATCTAGCTTCTCTTGCAGTTCGTTCACATTACTTTGGAGATATAAGAGATTACAGGCGCTGAGACGGTCGAAGCATTAGAAGATTATACTATCCTAGTCAGCACTTATAAAGTAAGAGAGGGCAGGGAAGCCATCTAAACGTTTTGGATCGTAGATACGACCGATTTGGGCTTCGATATCTGATATAGTCTTTCCAAGTTATTAAAGAAGTTTTTGATTATTAAAATAATAAGGTAGTTGAGAAGCAATAATAGAGCTCTTGGGTTACATTATATACTCGTTCTAAGCCTTGCCCTCAAGTATAGTCCCAAATTAGGTTATACTACAGAAATAACATATACCTCCCAACTTTTCTTTTTTGGTTATATAATATCTTTTTTTTATTATTAAGTCCACTATTATATCTATTTAATTGTCATTATACTTTATATAGTGCCATTTTCTCACTTTTAATAATTTCACCGTACTAGGTGAAATTAAGGCGTTTCAGCCTCCGGTTTATTACTATCTATAAGACCAGAGGAGATTATGGCCGCCTCAGCCTCACCGCCAGACGGCATCAACGGCTCTATAAGCCTATTACAAGAGCGAATATGGCTAGTATAGTATATATCTAGCCTATTTATTAAAGACGAACCCGAAAACTAGTTCTTCTCGTCTAATAATAATTAGCAATTTATAGGCGGCAGGTAATAAGGCTTTAATATAACTCAATAGCACTTCAATTAATTCGGCTTCTATAGCAGAAGTATTAACCCTAATAATCTTACTATAGGTAGTAATAATAGTATAGCTATTTAATCCTTCCATTAGAACAGCTTTATAAATCAGCTATTAAACCCTAGTATAAGATTTTCGAAAGGCTATATATACTTTAATAATAATAACCTAATTAAAAGTCTCGGAAATAATAACTATTCGAATCAAGCCTCCTTTAATTATCTTATATTAGATACCGGTTCTAACTATAAACCAACTTTCCCATTATACTTAGTAGTTCTAACTATTTCAGAAGAGGAATTAATAGATTATTAGGTGAGATATAAGCCGAACTCAGCTATAAGACTATATATAATACATCTAGAAGTAACTAAGGAGGATTCTGCTATAATATAGTTTATCTAAGCTATCTTTAGATATTATTAGACTAATATATATAGGGAATATTATAACTTGCAGGCGGCTATTAGCGGCCGATATTTTATAGACTCTGAGGGCTATAGGCGGGCCCTAGGGCAGCTGGAGTTAGTAAGGAATATCGAGTTTAATATTAAGGCAAAGGTACTAAGGACTAAAGAGCAGGCTACTATACTATTTAAAAAAATAACGAAACTCCGAGAACCTGCCTGGGATATAACTTATAGGATAGGGCGGCTAATAGGAAAGAGGATATAGAAGAAGAGCTTTCTGGAAAATATTAATCTTATTAATAAGACAGAGCTAATTAAGGTTATAAGAAAGATACTAAATAAGTCATTTTTACCGAGCCATAATGTCTTTATATTTCCCAATACCGGTTCTAATTAGAACTTTATATTATATTATCTACCGAAAAAGTACGAATTCGAAATGGATATAAATATAACTTCTGTCCAGATTATAATCCGCTTAGCTAGTTTATTTAGTTATAGGAGATTATTATTATCGGGCCCTATAGTTCGCTAAAGAAGCCTTAAGGTTATAGTTAAGGGATATAAGAACTTGGCATTTAGTAATACTAGTACTAGTCAGAATATAATATCGGATTATAAGCGGGATAAACTCGGCCTTAAAATAAGCTCAAACCTAATATACTTCCCGATAAGAAATTCAAAACGAATATTTTTACTAGGAACTATTAAGGTTCCTATTACCTTCAAAGATAATCCTATAAATATTATAATAATTATTATATATATTATATATATCTTTATATATAATATTCTCCTTGGAAACAAATTCCTTAAGGCTACTAATTATTTAATAAAATATATATATTAGTTCGTTTCTTGCCTATTTTCTCTAAAGTCAAAATGATTTATAAACTTGCTTGGAGAGACTATAAACAGGTTCTATAGGCAATTAGGGAAAGGAATTAAGGTTTTCGCTCTTTCTAATATCGGATCTATTAAGAATATTATAAATACTAACTAGGTATTAAAGAGAGCTAAGACTAGTAGCTTTGAAATTCTTTCTCAACCAGAAAATTATGGCTAGATCATATTTCCAGATAGTACCAAAGAAGCTATAGTTAGATAAGTATAAATAACTATAACTTTCCCGGATAGCAAGGTAGTTCTAATAGTATTTGAACTCCTGCCTAATTATTATATCCCTGTTATACTAGGATAGGACTTCATTTTTGACGAATATATATATATATATAAGGTATCCAGGATCAATCCGGGAGGTTTCGAATTATAATTCTGGAGATGAATTAATACTAATAGGCTATAAAGAGAGCCAATCTAAAAGGAAAGGGACTAGGAAAGGTACTATACCTTGCAAAATAGATAACCTCGAAAGACAAGTTAAATGGAATATTAAGTATTAGTACGGGCGGAAGGCCTCTCCTGAGGAATAGGACCAGGAGAACTCTAGAAGAGAATAGTATTAGCGACGGAGAAACCCAAGCTGGCAGCCTGGCCCACCTCTTATAGATTACAAACCTTAAGGGTCTCGCTATATACTACTCTTACCAGGGGAAGACGGTATAAAGGAAATATAGGATAATCTCTATTTCGGTAACTTTGGTAGGGATAAGGCAAATTAATAGCAAAATTAGTAGCCAAAATGATTTCTCTTTTAATATTCTGAGAGAATTTAGATGAAAATATCTGGGTCGGGATAAGCGTACAAATAATATACTGGGGTTTTTGAGTTTATAGCTAGGGGATATTCCGGGGGGTTCTCTATATAAATCTTGTAAGTTTAGAGCTATAGGCTAACATTTTCAGGGGCTTATTACTTTACGAGTTGCGAGTCCAGTTATAAAATAAGTCTAGGTTTTATAGTGAATTTAGTAAGTATACTTCTATCCTGTCTCTTTATAAGGTAAATAAGATTTTGACTAATTAAATCTTTTTAGAAAAGAAGATTATATACTAGGGACCCCTTAATAAACTAAATAAATGTAGAAGATACGAAGCCAGTTAAGGAAGATGCAATGTATTGCAATACGTTATATACGAGTCTAGGATGTTTATTCGCTGTCTTGTACAATTCGCGAGTAATAACGGAATCAGCTTATAGCGGGTCCTTGAGGTTGCTACAGGTTATAAAAGGACGCGAGTTCTTCTTGGATAAAATATATGCAACTCCGAATTTGGGTATCCTTCCTTCCCTAAAAACCCCTTCTTCCATCCAGAAGTAAAGTTCTCCAGAGGAAAAAGAGCCAAAGAAGGATAATATCGACCGCGATAAGAGAATCACTAAATCTAGGTTTAATTATAAGAATCTCCTAAAAGCCTAGTAAGCGAGAGCAGAGAAAAATAAGTCCCAAGTAATCTCTACTTGGAAATCCGAAAATAAGTATTCCAAGTCTAAGAAGGGCAAGGAGGTAATTCCTCTGTAGCTAGGGCAGCTATAAAACCGGTATCCTGGTCTGTTTTTCTAGCTTAGTGCGACTAAGAAGAGAAGATAAAAGGCGGGGAAGCGGTTCTTTCCTGGTAGGCTGCGACGGTATCCGCTCTGCTGTCCGTAATCTCTTATTGAAGGAAAGAGGCATAGAGGAGTTAGAACCGGTGTTCACAGATTTGGTGCAGGTAGCTGGCATCTCGCGAGCGCCTGAGGCTGTACGGGGGCAGAAACAGGCAATGAGGAATTTTTATAGAGCGGAGAAGTACTTTAGTACGTTTCCTAGTTTTTGTGTTAAGGATGGGATGACAGGTTGGGCTATTACGTCGCGGTCCTTAACGCCGAATGTTGAGACGTGGCAATCGATGGATGATAAGTAATTAGAGAAGTTTAGGGAGAAGCTGAAGATAGAGTTTAAGGGGTGGTGTAAGGAAGTTAGAGCCTTGGTAGGAGGAGCGGAGAAGGTAATTAGATATGGACTTTATAATCGCAAGGCGCTGGATCCGGCGAATTGGGTATCTAGAGGGGGAAGGTGTTACTTAGTAAGCGATACGGCGTATCCGACGAGTCCGTATTTGGGATAGGGTACTAATCAGGCGTTGGAGGATTATTAGCAGCTTTCTAGTCTACTACCTGATGTTAAAAATAGGAGGGAACTAGAGACGGACAAGCTAAGGAAGGTTTTCAAAGAGTTTGCGGCAAAGAGATAGCCGAGGACAAAAGAGTTGGTAAAGGGCGCGAGGATGCAAGGGGAGCTGAGGGTTTCTGGTAGTAGAGAAGAAGGGATGTTGAGAGATAAGAAATTAAGAAAAGAGTAGAAGGATGTGGAGGCAGTGAAGGCCAAGTGTAACGGGTTGTTAAGAGAGCAGTTTTCGTGTTAGAATGTAGTCAATGAGATTAACATGTTAGTTTAGATGTCCCCTAAGACCTCTACCAACTCATCTATTACAGTTTGTCTAATCAGAGCGTCTGTATAATCTCAGTCCATCCTCCCCGTCTATTATCGAAAAAGAGCTATTATCCATCTCTTTCCTTTTAATCCCTTTATTAACTTCTGAATCTGTTACCCTGTCTGCAATTTCAAGTATCAGTGCCGTTTCCACGCTAACAATCTGAGTAATAGCTTGCTATAAATTACTTAGCAATGTCTCCTCTTGGGTTGTCTAAATACACCTGTAATGAAAAGTATTAGAGCTAAATGGAGGCCGATAATAATTGAATAGATTGTGAATTCTCGAGAGCGGCTAGTTGGAAGCGGAGCATGAAGCTCGTGACTGAAGCCGGTGCTTGGAGGTCGAACTCCACTGCCAACATGTAGTAATGTGTACTGTAGAGGAGAGTCTCATAGGCTTATAAGGCTAATGCCAGATGAGAAGTTTCTTGCAAGTTGTCTTGAAATATCCTTGAGTGTGGGAATTGGTGTGTCCTCAATAACAACAAAGGTGTCAGAAATGATACGATAGGAATTAATAAACTACCTGAATTGATGGACTTGTTTCCTCATCCATTCTTTCCTAATGAGGTTCTTGAAATGTTCAAGGGGTATTACAAGGTAGGATTTCTTCTGGTGCAAGTGCACTGAAGGACCTCAGTGACATTGTTGGTGGTGGCGGTGTCAGGATGGCGCAATGCTTTCCTTGCGAAATGGACGGAGCGACCAAACAAAGCAGCTGACTTTTCGGGCTGAAGCTTCCGAAGAGCTTCTGCTCCGGCAGTCGAGCGATAGCCTGGCTGAATACTCAGACATTTGTCTCGGACGATATGTGACTACTGGGTAGAGTGCACGGTCCAGAAGCTGAAAACCCATGTGAACCATCTTGCAATTTCGTGCCAGCGCCGTCCTCAGCTATTTATCAGCATTTGATGGAGGAATTGCTGTCGCAAGATGGACTTCGATGAAGAGTCGTCGTACAGCGATACATCTCAGGATTCAGCATCCTATGGCCTGCATGGAATCGACTTCTACAACTCGTACCAATACGCGCAATTCGCATCGAGATTCGGACTTGGCCCAGATTTCCCAGATGGGTCAGGACATTCGCAGCCGTTGTCACAATCCAGCCTCAATGATATCTTCTACAATCAGTGGTTGATGATGGCCGCAGCCTTTCTTCTTTGGCATTCGGTTTGGCACACTGTGGTATGCCGTCTCATGATGTGGATGATCTCTTCCGTTGGTAGCATTTCACAGCTTAATTGGCATTTCAACTACCCGAAACTAGTGGACATATTTATCCATATTTGCTTGCTACTCTGGGTCTACTGGACGGTCTTCAAAAAGGTTGCGCAAACAATGGCGCAACTTTTGACTCGACGTCGCGGCCCAGAAATTGATCTCTCCGACGTTGTCGCATCTCTGATTCTATATTCCATTGGATGCTTTATTTGTCACAACATTAGATCGGTATTACGTGTGTTGACAAGACCTATGGTACTCTTATTGATTGGTCTCCTAAGCTTGCATGCTCTGGGAATTCTCCGGTGGGCAGCTGTGCGCTGCAAGTCGCTCTTTCTTGCAGGCCAAGACAAGATATGGCTATTCTCGATGCAATTGCGACGTCGATGCAGAACGTCTTACCAAATTTACACAAGGCGCCGCTCTGGATTATTTCCAAGAAGTCCTTACAAGTATTCGAAGCTCAGAGCTTCAGAGATCAGATTGCTCGAGCTTCGCAGAACCCATCCTCTGGCAAAGCTAAGCATCCGTCTTCTGGCGACCCCTTCACCGAGCATAAAGTTTTATGAGGCATTATCGTATACCTGGGGGGATCCTACAATGAATCATTCTCTTCCTATTGAAGGATATTCTCTTTTGACCACCAAAAATGCATTTGAAGCACTCCATGCTCTCGCACCGCACTGGGGGAAACGACTGGTCTGGATAGACTCGATATGCATTAACCAAGGAGATGATGTGGAAAAGGGCCGACAGGTTGCATTAATGGGAGAAATATACAAGCAAGCAACAAGAACAGTTTCCTGGCTCGGCGGCTCTTCCAACGCTGATTTCGCTTTCCTCCAACTTCGCCGTCTGAAGCGGCTTTTAGCTGGGAACCACGATATCAAAGCCATCACTCGGATGGTCGAGAAGAGTAGCCTTGGCCCTGACAATGTTCATCATTGGCATGCAGTCTCAGAGCTTCTGGCTCATCCATACTGGTCTCGTGTCTGGATCGTACAGGAGGTGGCTGTTTCACGAACCGTGGACATACTGTACGGCACACATTGTGTGCCTTTGAGTTCCGTAACTGATATCATAAATCGGTTGTGGCGCGCACCCGAAACAGATACCCTATTGGAAAGACCGTGGCAGCTGGGGACGCTCGAGAAAGGGATGCTTTCCAATTACGGCAACATGAGGGCCATCTTCGAATTCAGACGTCTCTTCCAGCAAGGCCAATTCCCTCCACTCCATGGTGCTGTACAAGCCACACTTCTCTTCAAAGCAACAGACCCGAGGGATAAGATCTATGCCTTCTGCAATATCGCCAGAGAGCCGGCAGCCGCTGCTCTGGATCCAGACTACACAATATCGGCACAAGAAGCGTTCACGAGATTCACAAAGCGATACATACAGAGCAATTTCCGGAAGTTGATCCTTGAAGCTGGACTTGCCCAAGACCGGCAGCTACCTGACCTCCCATCCTGGGTTCCGGACTTTTCGAGCACGGATGACTTGCTTCCTCCAATGGCTCGGACGGGGCTTCACCTCAAGGACCACTACGCAGCCTCTGGAGGTGAAGCTATCTCTATCGGTATTGACTTGTCCAAAATTATTCGAGTGCAGGGAGTCTATGTTGATCAGATCGACTTTCTTACTTCACACTCCATTGAACGCTCCTTGAATCCCATGTCTGCCGATTACGTTGCTCCAGCACTCAACGCTTGGCACGAAGAAGCTATAGCACTTGCAACGGCTAAGATCCCATTGAAATACCGCTGCGGCGACGAATCAAGACGCAGGGCGTTTATCAGAACACTTATTGCAGACAGAGACGGCTACGGATCGGAAGCTCCCGCCGTTTATTATCGAAAGTACTACAAAGACTGGTGCAAGTATCTACGCACGGCGGCAGAGGAAAGGGTTGAGCTGGATAACAACAACGCATCGGACTCAGAAGAAGGAGAGCACTTGGAGAGTGCCAGGTACTTCTCTTCTGCTGTGCTGCGAGTTGCTCAGATCCGCAAGTTCGCAACCACGACCGGGGGGTTCATGGCTATAGTCCCGAAAGAAGCAAGAGTTGGAGACATTATTTGTGTTCTTTTTGGCATGGAGGTGCCGTTCGTATTGCGGCCTGTTTCCGTAGAGGCTGGAGAGGAGCAGACGCATCTGCTAATTGGCTGGTGCTACTGTCATGGGATCATGATGGGAGAGTGTTTGGAGACTGGGCAAGCGTCTCAAACTTTTGTTCTGAGGTGATTCGTGTGCCGCTCTATACAAATATTTTTCCAACTTTAGCAAGAATTCCTGGTGTTCCGCTTTGCGGTCTTTAGCACTCATACATAATTGTATAGGGGATTCTGAATACAACTAAAGTCAGACTCATATGAAGGTGTTCAAAATGGAGGTCGGTCAAGGTCTGGAATACGGCGGAGGCTATACTTGACGGGCGAAAGAGAAACCTTTCTTTTCAAGATGAATGGTCTTTAGGAGACTATGATGACAAGTGGTGATTATCTTTCTGGGGAGCAACCCCACTTCTTACCGCCAACTTCCCAAGTCCAACTTGCAATCCTCTCCAACCTTTCTCGATAATAAATCCAAAGGTTATAAGCATTTTTTTTTCAAATACCTAGGCCATATCATCCTTACATCCTCACCCCCCAATCTCCTTCTCGTCTCTAAAATCCCCAGCGCTTCTGGCGCTGGCTCTCGAGAAAGAATAATAATCCTCCTCAAATAGCAGCTCCACCACAATCACTTGACGACTCCCTTAAGGGCCTATCTGTCATAGAGAGCTCAGGATTCTCACCTTACCGTATACTTTACGAAGTAGGCGTTCCTAGCGTTATATAAGGTAAAGATACTTTAACAACTTACGATATTCTTACAATTGTGTCGACCTCTTCCTTCTAGTATACGATCTAGAAAGCGCGACACGAGTACTAGCTTCTCACGGATGTAATCGCACTACACCAAGTCTAAGATTCTATAATATTCCATAGATTAGCGACAATGTTCACCGCCTAATCCAGATACCTGCCAACGCCATCCACGATATAGTAAACCTATTAAAGGTAGATAATGTGAGTATTCCGGGTGTCATACTCCTTCCGGCCAAATATTAGCATTAAAAGCTTCCTCGAACTATCGACGAGGTCGATAACTTTATCCTACTATTATTAACTTTACTTAATACCTTCATTAACGTCTAGATTGATCTTCCTGACAATAATATATTATTACGAGAATATATCGCGACACATATTAGATATTTCTACCTCTATAATCATGATATACGAAAACTAAATATCGAGAACGGACTTGCTACCGAAAACCGCCAGGTTCATTTTGAACTGTTACGGGGTAAAGACACGCCATATGTTTTCCTTATAGCGAAGAAGTGTTAAGAGCATCGTCGAAACGTTAGGAATCAGATTCGACTAGTTCGATACGAGCCAAGGAAAGCTACTTGAGAACTGGCCACACGTTAATGCAGAGCCCTTAAGACAATGCGATTGGACATAATGCGAATTTTCTACTACTTGGCTTAGGCAGAAATCAATTGTGCCTTTAAGTATCTCAAGAGTCAAGGACCATGAATTACGAGAGGAGGGTAGAGGCTTTGATGTTTTTGGATACGTCAAATTTACTTGCTTGCGGCAGTACGCAATTCATCACACCCATCCGTTCCCACAGATACCTCCTCATATTTGCTTCGCGTATTATGAGGATTAGGTGCTGCATTGACTTGAGGACGCCGAGAGCATAAGCGCTTCGGCATCCTGTTTCTTATTGGAGGAGCTATTTGCGTCGCGGGGACCTGGCATATGGATGAAGCTTAAGACCCGTTGAGGATCGGGAATAATTGTATGTATGTTGGATCAGGCGCAACCCGGAGCAAGATCCAGTCACGTGAGGTCTAGTGGTAAACAACCTGAGCAGAAGCAGCTATGCTTACCAGCCGAATATGGGACAAAGATTGAACGATTAGAGCTCAGATACCAATGTGAATCATCTTCCCATGTCATTGGAATACAGTCACGTGACTAAGGCCACTTCTACGTCCATCCCCTTGCTTGCTTGGAAACTAGGTGCTCGGATTCCTGCACTCGCCGCTCGGACAGACCTATCAACGTGGGTTCTGATCCAAGATTCGGAATCAATGTTCTTGCATTTCCGAGAGAGATCCGAATAGCAGTGGTACAAAGCGACGAAGAAACCCTCCGATTGTGCAACTAGAACGGTTCCTTGCTAGGCAGCAACTTCAACATCGCATCAGAAGAGCTCATTTTATTCCTTCAAGGACATCATAGCTCGGGCGCTCTGACAATCGATTGAATCCAAATCATCAGCGGACGACAGCTTTTGGGCTTTTTGGACTTCCGCTTTCAGGCTTTCACGTAAAAACGGACAAGCGTTGCGCAGCTGTGCCACACAGCAAATGCGTATTCCTTGGCCAATCGCACAGACTAGATACCTCGGACATTATAGCCATGCGTTCCACGACATGTAGCATAAATAAACTCTTGTGGGACGACTTCATTCCCCGATGAGGACAGGGGCAACGAGGTATTGAGATGAAGACCTTTCCAACTGCTGAAGAGGACCCATATACTTCTTTAGAGGGGATTTGAAGATGTGGTCCAGGCAGCCTTTCGAAATTGAAGAAAGTAGCAAGTCGATAGTCTGCTATAGTGTGGAAATTTGCAACACATAAGCGCAAGAAGTGTACAGGAGAGACTGAAAAGGCAGATGATTTGCAGGCGCATCACTCCAAGAGTGTGCACTGCAGCCACAAACCTTGGGTGTGCCCGCAACGGCTTGCGGTAATGAATTGATAACAGCTCAAACAGAACTCTCTGTGCAGCCTTCCAAAGTATACAGGCGAGGAAGAGGACAATAGCGTACATCAAAAAAGCCATACCGGCACCCGAAGGTGTTGGAATAGTCACTGAACCACTCAATCTGATTGGATAACAATACGAGCAGAAACATTTTGGAGCGAGAATGGAGTTGACCTACCTGTGAAGTATTAGCTCTAGTTGGGGTCTTCCTGACTCCCGCCGGTACGTACTACTGGAATTTTGTTCGTGATACCATTAATGTTCTCTTTGGTGGTGTCCGCATCTTTCTGCTGTAAAGGAAGTGCTGCGTTGAGCTTCGAACTGAGGATATTGAGTCCCTCTAGGGTGTGCTTTTCCTTCTGCTCTCGTGCAGTGGGCTTATTGCGCTGGTTAACATATCTGGTAAGAACTGCTACGGGGTCGTACGGTTACTGTTAGGCGGTGTCAACTTCCATACCCACGGCCTTGGCTTAACTTCAGAGGAATAGTGAGGGACATTGCTAGAAGAGCAATAGAGGGTAACTGGACTTTGCGAGCTGAGATCTGCTCTGCCTACTTGAGATTGGAGAGTAACGAATGACTACGTAAGGCCTGCCTATGCGAGAAAAGGAAATCGGAAAAAGCGATAGTCATGGCGATGGGGATAAGGCCCTCTATATTTGGCTGCCCCTCTATGTTTGGCTGCTCCTGATAATACTCGCTTAATTTAGCTGCCCTTAATAATACTCGCTTAGTTTTGGTGTTCCGACCCCTAAAAACAGTAATATAACTATCCCGGATCCAGGGATCAAAACACCACTACCTTGACTCTAAAAGTAATAATAATTTATAAGATTTATTTTAGAATAATTTTAAGAACTTTAATATTATAGTATTTAATTAAATTAATTAAATATTATTATAAAGTCTTTAAGTCTAATTTTAATATAATAATATTTATATTAAATAGAATTATAAAAGCTTTATTATTATATAATTTATTATTAATTTTATTTAAGAAAAAAGGAAAAATAAATAAAATAAAGCTAATATTATTAATGATAGTCTAATTAGATTAAATCTTTTTTTTTTTTAGAAATCTATTATATTAGTTTATTTTATTTTAAATAAAATTAAATATAAAAGAATTAGATATTTCTAATTAAGAAATTAAGCTATTTATTTATTTTTACTTTTATTATTATTATTATTATTATTTTTAAACCTAAACTTTTATTATTTAGTATTTATTTTATTATTAGAAAGCTTATTAGAAAAATAATTAAAATATATTTTAAAATATAAAAATATAATAGAACTAATAATAGTTTTAATTATAAACTTATTTTTTTAAAGTATTTATTAATATATAAATCTTTTTTATTATATTAAAGAAATTAATATAAAACTACTTTTATAATAACTAGCTCTTTTAATATATATATAAAAAGGCCTATATAAATATTTATAGCTTTTTAAAAGCTCTAATTTCTAATATTAAAATTTAAATAAATAAAATATTATTATTATAATAATTATAATAGTTTAATATTTCGAAAAATAAATATTTAAGCCTATTAAGTTATTAATTAATAATATATATAAATTATAATATAGATTAATATTTATTTTGTAAAATACTAAATTCCTGTATAATAAAATTATTATTTTTTATTAAAATATACTAATATATTAATATATAATTTCGGATTCTTTTTTTAATCTTAGCTAATTTATTATTACTTATAAGAAAAAATAATAAATTAATACTAAAATTCTTTTTTTTAATTAATAATATTATTTAAAAAAATAATTAAATAATTATTTCTTTAAAAATTATTAATATAACTATAATTATAATTATAGCTTCTAAAATAAATATTTATATAATTATAAATTCCGTAAGTATAATAGTTATTTAGATAAATTATATTTTATATATAAAAACTCAAATATTACTTTTAGAAATATATATTAAAGAAATAAAAAATTAAAAAAACTCGATTTATAACCCGAAATTTCTATTAATTTAAGGCTTTAAATTTTTATTAATTTAATAAAAGTTTAGTAATAACTACTTATAATTAGTAATTAAAATTAGAAAAGAAAAATATTATAAAAATAATAAAAATAATAATATAAAGAATTATTTAAATAATATTTTTAAGGCTTTTCTAATATTAATAAATAAAATAAAAAATTAATATTTAGATTTCTATTTTATTTTAGTTAAAAGCCTTTTAGCTATTTTTTATTATATTAATAACTATAATTAATACTTTTATATATAACTTTAATTTTTGATTTCTTATATATATTAATTAATAAATAAGAATTATATCTTGAAATTTAGTAAATTATTAATAGAACTAATTATAAAAAATACCTAAATCTTTATAATAAATAGTATTTTTAAATATAATATCTATTATT